TTTTAAAAATCTTCTTAGAAAACGACAACTGTGGTCTAATAGGATCAGGGCTGCATAATCCAAGGTGAGTTTTCTGGTCTGTACCCTCTTGAGTAAGTATAGTCAACCCTCATTATTTGCAGAGCACATGTTTTCAAATTTGCCAACTTGCTAAGAGTATTTGTAACTGTCAAATCCACGTTTGCTGGTGCTCCAGCAGCCATCGGCAGACTGGCTGAAGTGTGGTCTAGAGTTTCCGAAGTGCAGAAAGGCTGTGATGAGCCTTAGGGAGAAAGTACATATTCAATAAGCTTCATTCAGGCAGGAGTTATAGGGCTGTTAGCTGGGAGTTAAATGTTAATCTGACTGTATATTAAATAAGGTCTCTTTATACAAAGCATAAATAAAATAAGGTTATGCATTGATGAGCTGGTAAAAATGTGACTAGAGGTTCTCAGGAACATAGCTCTGTATTTTTCCTAGGGGTAACAGTTTGGTGTTCGCTAGTTCAGTCTTGACAGTGACTTTATAGAATGTAACTACAATGAATAGTGAGAATAAACTGTGGAGAATCAACAACTATTTTTAGGGTGGAAGAGAGTAATACACTAGATCTAGAATAAAGAGACTTTGATTATAATTCTAGCTCTGCCACAGGGGTGCCTGGGTGGCTCCATCAGTTCAGTGTCTGACTCTTCACTTCAGCTCAGGTCATGATCTCCAGGTTTGTGAGGCTGAGACCCGTGTTGGGCTCTGTGCTGATAGTGTGGAGCCTGCTTGGGATTCCCTGTCTCTCTCTCTCTCTGCCCCTCCCCTGCTCATGCTCCCTCTCTCTCTCAAAATTAAATAAACTTAAAAAAAAAATCCTAGCTCTGCCACAGACTTCACCTGTCCAGGTCTCAACCTCTTTGTCTATAAAACAGGAATATAATATTTGTTTGGAGTTATGAAGATAAATGGAGATAATTATAAATGTACTTTTTAAAAAAGTAGAAACTCCTTGGGGCGCCTGGGTGGTTCAGTTGGTCGAAATGTCTGACTTAGGATTGGGTCATGATCTCACAGTTTATGGGTTCAAGCCCTGTGCTGGACTCTTTGCCGATACCTCAGAGCCTGGAGCCTGCTTCAGATTCTCTGTCTCCTTCTCTGTCCGTCCCTCCCATGCTTGGCATGCACGCTCTCTTTCAAAAATAAATGCACATTCAAAAATAAAAGGAGAAAGTTATTTAATAACATTAATAGTGTACTTCTGTATATCTGGCACTTAAGAAAGTCCCAAGGTATTTTTAAAAAATGTTTATTTTGAAAGACACAGAAAGAGAGAGCACGGGTAGGGGAGGAACAGAGAGGGAGAGAGAGAATCCCAATCAGGCTCCTTGCTGTTAGCGTAGAGCCTAATGTGGGGCTCAATCCAACAAACTGTGAGACCATGACCTCAGCCAAAATCAAGAGTTGGCCACCTAGGCGTCCCCATCTCAAGTTATTTTTAATATGTCATAATTATTTTACTTTGGAAGTTATTTTCAAATTACTGTATTTTATGTGATCCTAAGACCCACATTTTTTTTCATATTTTAAAATCTCTGAGCTTGTTCAAAGATGCAATTATGATTCAGTGGTTTTTCCTTCTTTCTTAGTGGAACATAGAATATTGGTGCATCTTGCATTCAATGGGTCTTAAATGAGATGACACATGGTATTCTGTATCTACCCTCCATTATGAATTCTCTCATCTCGCATTGACGGTAAGCTTTCCAAACAAGCGTGCCGGCTCTAACCTAACACCCTCTCCAGTGAGAAGTTCTCCCAACATTTTCCTTCTTTTAATCATGTCTCAACATTTTGTATTCCTGATCCAAGTATCAATTCTTCTGTGGCTTTTTACTTTTAAACCTAACTTTGCTTTCTTTCTTTTAAAAAACTTAAACTGGGGCGCCTGGGTGGCTCAGTCGGTTGAACCTCTGACTTCGGCTCAGGTCATGATCTCACGGTTTGTGGGTTCAAGCCCCGTGTTGGGCTCTGTGCTGACAGCTAGTTCAGAGCCTGGAGCCTGTCTTCGGGTTCTGTGTCTCCCTCTCTCTGACCCTCCCCTCCTCATGCTGTCTCTCTCTCTCAAAAATGAATAAAAAAAAAATTAAAAAAATAAATAAAAAACTTAAACTTTTCAACAGACTCTCTAATTTCTAGTGTGATCATCTACCACCAAAGAGTAAGTGCTAATACTCTTTCCTTGGGATAAAATATTTAATTGCCTACATCTGCAAGGTCCCAGGCTGCCACGGAAACATATTGCCCTCTGGAACAACAGAGGTCTATTGAGGCCACTGGGAAACAGTGATGCTGCTTAAGGAAAATCCATCCCAAATTCCACAGGGGAATTTCTGCTTGCAAAATACTCTTGTTACATGCAGAACAAGAGTGTATTACTTGCTGCACTTTTCTTCAAAGGGCTGTCTAAAAATAACAGATTTCCCCCACAAAATTAATAGCTAATGGAGTGAAAAGTAGATTCTTACGTGATCACTCACTATCTGGTTTGTTGTTTAGCCAAAGATGGAGATTGGGAGGTGAGGGTAAGGGGATTAGTGAGGTCTTCCTTCGCTTCAAGTTTTCATCATAAGTGACATGTTCAACAGAACACCCAATTCTAACGTGTCCCTAGGTAATGAGCTTATGTATTAAATAATCACAAATAATTCTTGAATTTTATACTAATTTTTTTCTCTTCATAACTGACAAACTGATTTTCATTTATACAGCTGAGTTTCGGTATGGATTATAGCAATCATGGTTCTCCATGTGAAATGGCTACTGAGTCAAGTTTACGGGAGGGACTATCAACAGGGCTGGAACGTTTGCACTAACAGTGGTGACCACAGCCTAATTTCAACAAGTGTCATTCCATATCGGACCAGGAAGAAAGCTCAAGAAATTTTAGCATTTTCGTCTTTCTGCGAAATGGGGCAAGACAGTGATTAGTGGCAGGTCAGCAATGAGTTAGTTTTCCACGACACAGCCCTTCCACCTGGCACAGGTTTGGGAAACAGGAGGAAGACTAAGGCCCAAATGTGCTTCACATTTACCGAGGACAAATATTTAGGACTGGGAATTAGACAATACCACTCTGGACTTCGGTGTCACCTGTCCCTGTGCTGAAACTCTTACCCATAGTTCTGAATGGCTGATGTAAGTATCAAAAATTGGCTGATCTCCAGGATACTTATTTTCTCCCCCAGGCGGAGAGGAGGGTGGGGAGTAAGATGGAAAACACCTCTTTGGGCTGGATCAAACCCATAGTTAACTGACCACAATTTAAGGAATTTAACAGTGTGTGAGCTACACTCCCCTCTCTCTGTGCCCTGAGAGCCCAGCAGAAGTCTGGTCCCACTGTATGGTCCCACTGTATTCTCTGAGCTCTACCTAGTGTCCTCTGTGGTCCCTGCCTTCCTGGCTTGGGAAAACACCATGGCCCTTTATCTAACCCCAACGCTCAACTGCAAAGACAGAGAATGAATTATTTATTTATTTTTTTTTTTGAGAGAGAGAGACACACACACATAGTGCCAGTGGTGGAGGGCAGAGAGAGACAGACGGAGAGAAACACAGAATAGGAAGCAGGCTCCAGGCTCGGAGCTGTCAGCACAGAGCCCGATGCAGGGCTTGAATCCACAAGACAGGAGATCATGACCTGAGATGAAGTCAGACACTTAACCAACTGAGGCACCCAGGCGCCCCAGAGAGAGAATGAATTTACTTTACCACCCGCTTCTCCCCCACAACACAACTGTACTAAACCTAATTCCAAAATATTCTAAACCAAACCTCAGGTCTGAGGAATGATTTTAAATGAAATGACGGAAGGAAAATTTCTGATCTGGCAATTCTTAACACTCGTTTTTATTTTTTGCTTCCTATGGGTACTAATAAACAAGTGGGTAATGTTTTTCAAGATTTCCTTCTTTTTAAGTCAGCTGCCAAATTGGGTGGTTCAAAGACACTGAGTTAGGAAAAGAACATACTTTCTATTTATATTTATGTATCAGCCTTTAAAAATTTTAGCATGTTATATATGTTTTATTAGCATACTAGGACATGTACGTAGTTAACCAAGAAGCATGCACATCGGTGGATACATTCTCAGAATTTTTTCTCAGTGGGCTGCATGATGAAAGCGGGTTGAAGATAATGCCTAGCTAACGATCTTATTACTATCTTTTGTAAGCCACATACATGCAGGAATGAATTCAAAGGTATAAGCAAAATTGGTACCTTTTCAAATAGTAAAAAAACGGCTTTGCAAGCCAGAGTAGATGCTGCCATAAAGATGACTTTACTATTTGGCAAATCTAGTGTCTCCAAGAGGCAGGAAATGCCTGCTTTGCCATGGGCACAAATAGTTTGAGATCCGCTTAATTACTGGTCTGTCTTTGATCTATTCCTTTCAGTTTGCAGTGCTTATTTACTTTAAGGGGGAGCTTGCATGCAAAAAAAGAGATGAGGCCTGCTGAAATTTAACAAGAACGGCAAGAAATTAAAGGCACAAAAGAGGCCACTTGTTCAGTACTACTTAAGTCCACCACCTAAAGTATCCATTCACTTTCATCTCTATTACTAATAAACACATACAGCAAAGTCTTTACACATACAAAAGCTGCTTCTAAAAAAGAGGGCCACTTTTTGAAGAAAACTCAACCTCATGGTACTTGGCCCATTTCAATCTTATTGCATCACGTCTGGAATCACTTTTATAAGGATAGAGACATCTTTGTAAGGGGTGGTGGTCTTCAGGTCTGTACCTCATAAGACTGAACTTAAACATAGAACAAGTCTGCCCTAGTAGTTTGTCCTAAAAATTGCTGTGTGGCCCTGGAAGGCTAAGGACACCCTGTGCATGCCTGTTTTTTCAACTTTTTCTACCTTGCTGGCTGAAACCAAAAATCTATATGTAGACATGCACGCGTGCACGCAGACAGCGGAAAGGAATGACCTGCAGTTAGGTCACATGGAATATGGCACAGTACCTGGGATGCTCTCTAATTTCCGCCGGAGCTCTTCATTTTCTTGTTGCAGTGAAATAACCTCCTGCTCCAGCTCTTGGCATCTGGGACAGTAGCCTTCCTCTTCCTCCTCCTCTTCCTCCTCTGGCAGCGTAGAAGAGGATGGGTGACCATGGGATTCGGATGTCGCCGGGGAGGTCCAGCCACCTAGTGTATGCACGGGGGAGGTGGACAGAGGATCCACGTCGGCCAGGTGGCCATACTCACTGACCGATGAGGTGTTTGGAGTCGGAAAGCTCCCCGAGAGCAGGTAATTTTGTAGGGAGTCAGTGAAAACCCTCAAGAAGGCAGAAGTCTGTTGTTTCCTTTGAATATATTGCATGTCTACGTCTACATTATCTGAGGTCTGACTGTGGACCCCTTTCCCGATGTGACACTGCTCCTGTCTCTCGGTGTAACTCGAGCCTTCCTGCTTGACACAAGAAATCATGGATTGAGAATGGTTGGAGTCCAGTAGTTTTCCTCCACAATTTAAGAGACTAAGAACTCGACTGCACTGCTGGGCAAAGGCATCCAAGATCATACGACTCTCTGAAACACATGAAAAAACACATCAGAGACGGACAGCCAAAGACAAAGGATTACATAAGGTCCTCAATTTTGAGTTTAACATTCAAAAATGTTAAAAAAATATGTGTTTCTGCTCTCCATCCCAAACCAAGGTAACACAGTGAATCTACTTCTAGTAAGATGCATAGCTGCCTGTCATCCTGCAACCAGAGGGGTGTCTCAAGAGTCATCCCCAGCCCCGTATTCTGGGAAATGGCTGGTCTGTCACTTTGGGCACCACAGAGAGATTTCCCTCTCTGTGGCATTAACTGGCCTGTACAAGTCTGAACTCACACCTTTGGCTTCATTAAGATCCTTACTCTAATGAATCGAGCCAGCTACCGCAGACTCAATTCCTCATTGATAGGAGGGCTTACGGCAATCATTACTTCTATTTCTGGAGCGCCCTCATGCCCTTGCTATTAATCAGCTGATACAATCTCTGACGAGAGTACGTTGCTCCCAGATGCAAACTGGAGAAGAAAGATAAGTCTTTTTGAAGAGCTCACTAGGCATCTAAGGTAAAACAAAGAGTGGCCTATAAGGCAAAAGATGATGAGCCCGAAAGCAAAGCCGTGTTATCCAACATCTGTGTTCGCTATTCTTTCTCTCCGTTAATCTGTGAACGTGGATTTCTTGTCAAGGCCAATGTTTAGGCCGATCCATATAAGTATCATGTGAAAAGGAGCAGTGTGCTTCTTAGAGCCTCTTCCATTAGATTGCCAAATCTTTTAATGGCATGTGTCCAGGCTACCAGTTGACATAAATGTATTCTATTATATGTGCTGCCGAAGCGAGCACGACATAAATGTATTCTAAAGCATACTGTCAATCAGTGAAAAAACAAAAAGCAAACGGAAAGCAATCAGTTCAGAAAACCAAAAAACCCCTCGAAAACTGTGAAAATGGGATTTAATGCTGTCATTCTCGGGTCTTGAAAATTCACCCTAAATGCAAATATCACCCTAAATGCAGTCTCTTCTTTCCGGACTACCACCCAGAATGGGCTACTTTTAAATACAGAAAGATACCTTATAGGCCTTATATATAAATATAAGATGCCTCTTGTTTCCTCTCTTTCCTATCCAGAATAATGACAAACAAAATACTATAAATTTTAGATACTAATAACTATTTATGATAGAAATTTAACTAGTGGGGCGCCTGGCTCAGTTGGTTAAGCGTCCGACTTTGGCTCAGGTCATGATCTCACAGCTTGTGGGTTAGAGTCCTGCATTGGGCTCTGTGCTGACAGCTCAGCGCCTGGAGCCTGCTTCCAGTTCTGTGTCTCCCCTTCTCTCTGCCCCTCTCTGCCTCAAGCTCAGTCTCTCTCTGTTCCAAAAAAATAAATGAACATTAAAAAAAAAAAAATTTAACTAGCTACCTGTTGTCTCTGAAAATGCTGATTGGCTCTATCTTTTCTCCAGGGAAAAAACTTTAAAAATGAAAAATGGTGAAATGTTTGAAGGCTTCTATGGGAACAACAAAATATTTACTGAATACATGTGGGTTCTCTTGTAAATACACTGATCTTAGTTTGTAACACTGGGAGTTTCCTTAGCTAGGGTGGCAAGAGCATTCTGGGCAGGCTGAGTCCACAGGACTTACTTTTCTTCTTGCCATAGCGCTTTCCCATGCGTAGGAACAGTACCACCCTTAGACACAGGGAGGGGGGCCCTGCCCTAACCATCCTCCTCCACCCTCCCCACCCCATGGTGAGATACCCCAGATCCAGGAATTCCTTACTTAAACTGCTTCGAGGGCCTGTGCTGGACTCTTCCCTGAGCCATTCTCCCAAGGACAGACCATGGTGCCAGAGCCTGGAAGTTTGGACGGGGGCATCCATTCGTGTGTATGTGAGGTTCCTCCTATTAGAAGATGAAGCTGGGGGTGGGGAGAGAAGGCCATGGGCTGGCTGAAAACTCCAAAGTCAGAGCTGGTCATTAAGAAGGTATATTTGTCAGGGAAGGTGGATGGAACATATTTTATTTAATAGTTTGTTAATTATTTAGATACATGGCACGTAGGCCTGCATCTGTACTCTTGTCTTAAATCCCACCAATATTAGGCACAGGCCTGTTTTTTCCACAGTGATCTTGAGTGCTGAAGAAAAAAAACAGATGTCAGGCATAGTTTCAGGCTAGGCTTGATTGATGGGCTGGGAACTTTACTGAAGCAGCAGCCAGGATAAAGTACACTTGGTATATTGGAGTGTACATTTTACACACCAAACACTGGAATTGATGCCTCTGCCCCCTGCCAGGTGGACGGGAAGGACTGAGCCCCTGATTTAAACCAAATGGTAATGGGAAAGGCCTCAAATATTTGGGTATCAGTTCTTTACATTGACCAAAACCAAATAAACAAAGTAAACAGCTGAACCATACAAGTGGGAAGATTTAAGATGTTGCACGGTGGTCTTCACTTCCGGGTTTTTGTTCTTTTATTAGTAAAATCAAAGGATGATATTGATTGGGAATTTTCAATTCTAGCACACTGGCAGTTTTCATTCATTTTAATCCTATAATCTCATTCTAGACCTGAAGTTGTATTTACTGTTTGCATTTTAATCAGCATGGCCCCAATTGATTTATAGCCTATACACCTTTAATGTAACCTTGATGAAAGGAACAAAATATGAAAGGAAAGGCTAAAATAGAAGTGCCTATAAAGAACTGCTCAAATATATTTGTTCAATGTCCTAAAGTACACTCAGTAGCTTAAATCATATTGATAAATCACATTAGAGTATAGATTTTAAGGGGAAAAATCTGACTTAGGGACAAGCATGATTTGTTTTCTTAACTGAAGGATAAACTCATAATATGTTGAGAAAAAATCATTATGTAACACAGTACATTATGAAGATAATGTATTATAGTGTACTCAGAGTATTGGAGAATAACTACAACCATAAACACTCTTTGCCTTCAGTTTTTAAAAATGCTTCATTCTGAATTTGTTCTCAGAATTGATAGATGCAAAAATAATGACCATAACCCATGAAGTTGAATTTCTCCTCTTTTTGATACCTTAAAATATTTAAACGCTAGTTAACGTCAATACATCAAAAGATATGATGAAAAATATACTATTACACTTGGCAGAGAACAGCAAATCTTTCTACCTACTACATATTGCAGTCAGCAATACTTTAGCTTCCCAGACAGAATATAATTAGAAATGCAAGTACTGTGCAATGCCCATTATCGCTAAGAAATGGAGAAAAGTTCTGTTTTCATATGAACACAATTGAATGGTCACTGACCCATGATTCTTAATTGAGCAAAGTGTGAACATGTATTCTGAAAATTTTTTAACTGTTTTTTTTTTCCCCTAGTTACAGAATGCTCACTCAAGAGATGGCAGGGAAGAACAAAGTCAACAGTTTATAAAGGGGCTTTAAAACTACCTACTTTGTTCTTAATTTCTCTAAAATTAAACACCACAAAATCTTCATAAATCACAATCACGAAGCACTATGAAGTGACCACTTGTGATTTATTTTGCTCTAGTGTGCAATCTGTTGGGATACTATCATGTTGCAAATTGTGCCTAGCCTGATTCCAAAATCTGAACCTATGATTATTTTTTTAATTAAAAAATTCATTTCTAGAAATTCTCCTGAATTTAAGTGGTTTAAGCCATCCTACATCTGATAAGTGAGTAAGAAGAGGGATGGGAACTTGGCAATCAAACACAGGCGCTTTACTTTAATGTCCTTCTTTGTAAGTAAAGCCTTGAATGGAATTTGCCCATCACAGCATATACCCAAGAGTATTCTGTTACCATGAAGGAGATCACAGTCGTCGAGATTAGTGGTAACCTTTTGATTTTAGCCCAGCGAAGGGTGAAATATATTAATATTAAAAATGCAGAAGCACAAAAAATTTTTTGTGACCTATTATCATGTATCCATACATTATATCTGCCAAAAGGATTTCTAGCTAGTTCAAAATAGATGATTTCCTTAAAACATTAATGTGACTTCTTAAGAGAAGACTTCATGGCATAGAAAATAGAAGTCAGAAAATGAAAGCACCTTTGGAAGCATCACCCTTGTCTTAAATCAATGAACTATGTCTTTTAAAAAAAATGCCATCCAATTTTTTTTCATAATGGCAAACATCAAAACAGCAAAACAGGATGCAATTTTTCTAAATAAATAAATCAATGATGTGTCAAAAATTAACAGATGAGTTAATATACTTGGTGCTATCAAAACCAGATGGTGCTTCCTAATATTCATCCTGCTCAGTCAATCCCTGAATATTTTCTGGACCATCGGTATATAAAATAGGATGCTGCTATTTGTGATGGCAAACAAAAGCAATCATGCCTGCCAAGCACATACTATAACAGGCAGCATTTCAGCTCTGCTAGACAGAAAGTAATTAGAATGCTTTTAATGTCCAAAAGAATGATGCTGATAGGCTGCCACAGATGTGTAGATTTATGAATATTTATATGGTGGTTTATAGCTGACACTTTTATCAGTTGAAGAAGATAAAATATCTGCCTGACTCAAAAGCTTGACAGTCAGGTTAATAAAATCTCATTAAAGAGAATGACCTATGCAATTATATAGGATTTATTGTAATTCATTTTTGATTGTACTCTGCTTAAAGATGCAATTTCCCATTTCCTGATGCCAAATTTAGGCTGCATATCAAGATCTACGTGGGTTTTAACTCTAAGCCTCCCACAGAGGAAAAATATGCTTTTAAAACCATGGTATATTACCCCTTTTAAGGAAAATTATACTCTTCATGAGATTTTATAAGAATGCTGAAAAATCTATTTTTAATCACATTTCGCCTCTCAATGGTTTATGGCTTTTAATGGCAAATAAGATTCACTTCAACCTTTTCATCTTTTCACTGCCTTTACTGTGGACACTCAGTTTTATCTCTTCTATCCTTGACTCATTTCATCACATCACTGTTTTGACTATTTTCAGTCTATTAGGTGGCCCCAGAGGTTACCGTAACACTTTTGTGAGGGTGCAACAAGCAACTTACCACCTCCTCCAGCCCCCTCCCCAATATGCTTAAATGGTGTCTGTCTGTACACACATGCTCATTGGTTCAAAGTGGAACCACTAGTTCCTCAAAGAGCCAATCAGCTCTTAAGGTGACTGTCCCTCTGACGGACACTCACATCTCTGTGCTGGGTTAAGAGATGGCTTTGTCCATCAATGATTAAGATTATGACCACAATCCAGGATGTCTAGTACTATGGCCCGTTTTTGTTTTTGTTTTCCCTTTTTGCTGCCAGACCATTTTCTTCACTGCATGGAAGAAACCTACTATCCAATTCCCATTTTTCCAACAAGCAAATGGCATCCTGCCCTTGGTGCCATCAAGCTTACTCTCTATGACCTTAAAAAAAAAAAAAAGCAGCAGCTTTTGAGAATAAAAGGAAATAAAAAATATAGGGAGTTTCAGCGGTAAACAAAGCCCCTATTCACTCTTTTAGATTCAGCGATGTTGTGATTTCCACCTGGGGATGGAGATAAAATTAAGAAGAAACACTGGAGGAGTACATTTAGAACAAGGTGAAAAAGAAAAAAACACACATAAACTCCTTGTACACACATAAACTCCTTGTGAACGAAAGACAGCAAGGAGACTGCCAGAGTAGCAAGGAACATGGAAGGGACAGCAAGTGGCTGGTGCAGAAGAAAGAAACAATGCAGGAAAAATAGCAGGAAAAAGCAAGGTTAAAACTATGGATGAAAATGGAAATGAGAGGGAGATTTATAGTGTATAAAAGGAAATAAAAGATAGAAAGACAGCAAAGACTGAAAGGATAAAGCAAGATGAGAGTAAAGATTGAACAGGCAGATTAAAAAAAAGGGGAAAACCCCCAGTAAACATGGTGGAACTAAGGTCATGCAAAGGAGCAAACAAGTACGGAAAACAGGAAAAGAACCCAAACTGCTGAGAAACAACATAAAAAAGATAAAGATTAAGCAGAACCAGGGAATAAACATGGGCATCAACTAAAAGTAGTACGGAAGAAAATTAAGACAAGGGGAGAGAACACATTGGAAAAATAATGAGAAAAATGGAAGTGGATGGGTAGCCTAACAAGGAATATAAAAACACAACAGAATATTGGGTCAGGAGCAACTGAAAATAAAAACCCACCCCACAAACAATAAGACACCTACATAAAAAGCCCACTCCGAGCCGCCAAACATCTCCAAATCTGTGAGAGATGTGACAGAACAAGTCTTCACTATTACCTGTAATTACATTTTCTTTTTCAAAACCAATCCTTCATGTGTCAAAATATTGACAAACAACGTAACATTAGCATAGGCATCTATAACTCATTTAGAGACAAAGCTCCTATTTTCATTAGGACAAAAGCCTTGGATTCACTGATATGCAGAATTTGGGGAGGGTTCTAAAAATGCCCTAAAAGGCCTGAGCAGGAACTTTTAGTTCTGAAGAGCGAGATAAACGCACTGTGCCCTTGAGCGCAGGCCCCCAGGCTACGGCCTTTCTACCAGCCTACGTCCCCTTAGCCTAACCCGCAGGAGAGCTGACTTTTCCCAGGGGACCTCCTGCGGCCTCCGGGTGGAGAGAAGCCTCGTACGGGGGTGGGGTGGGGAGGGCTGGGTGCTCCCCAACAAGCAGTTCTTCAAGAAGCGGGATAGATGCTCGGGAGGCTCGCGATCCCGGGGTGCAGCCCCCTCCCTCCTAGCGGGGAGTATGGGCCTCGGGCCCCGAGAGCCCGAGGTGGGGGTGGGGGATCTCCTCGGCTTGGGGGGGGGGCGGGGGCGGGACGTCCCTTTCCCTAAAGTCCGCCACAGGGACGAGCGCCGGGTCCACCCGCGTGGCTGGTGCAGAGGCAGCCGCTGTGAGACCCGGGTTGGGGCTCTGGGGTGGGTGGGCAAAGAGGGGCAGAGGGAGCAGACCGCGCGCGCACGAGAAACACCAGCGCACAGAGAAAGAAAAAAGAACCCAAGAGCCAGCCGAGTGGACCGCGACAGAGTAGGAGTGCACCAAAGAGGTGGTGAAAAAGAGAATTAGAAGGCCAGGAAGGAGAGAGAGAAGCAAAAGCAAGCGGAGATCAAAGAGAGATAAAGGAAGAAGTGGGAGGAAAAAGTGGAAGCAGCCGAGGATAAAGGGAAGGCGTCCCCGAGCGCCGCCGGAGCAGCTCCAGCGTCTCCCGGAGCGGCGGCGGCTGTCACCCTGGGGTGTCCGGCGCGCGGCCTCGGCGCCAAGACTGCTTCCTTGTCCTGCGCCCGAAAGACCCCTGCCGCCCACCGCCACAGCCCGGCTTCCTGCGCGCCAAGCCGGGTTCGAGCGCGGAGCCACCTGTTAGGCGCGCGCGCCGTCGGAAGCTCCGAGCGCCGCGCCGGCGGCGGCGGCGGCGGGGAATCCTCTAGAAGTTGCTGCCCGCGCGTGGAGGCCTCAGGGGTGCGCTCGGACGCCCGACTCGCTCTCAGCCCGGACTGCGCTCGCCCCTCTCCCCCCGTTCTCCCCTCGCGACCCTCCCCCGCCAGGCCCGACGCGCGGAAAGGATGTCCGCCATGCCCGGCTTCTGGTTCCCCGGCCGAGCGGGGAGGAAAGTTGCGCCCAGGAGTTGGTACCTGCGCTGAGCTCCAGGCTGGCGCCGTCGCTGCCCGCGCTGCTGCTGCCCGCGGCGGCCGCCGGGCCCGGGCCATACCTGACGACGGCGGCGAAGGACGAGGATGATGAGGCGGCGGGGGCCGCCGGCGGAGGCGCCGAAGTCCTCAGGTGGCCCTGGGACGCGGCGGGCGTGCACGACGGAGACGACGAGGAGGCGGCGGCGGCCGCCCGGCCGGGCCCGGGGGGGTAAGTGCTCTGCGCCTGGAACTGCTGCGGCGGCGGCGGCGGCGGCGGCTCGCTGCTGCTGATGGAGACGGCGGCGTGCGGCGCGAAGGGCGGCGGGGGCGGCGGCGGCCGGACGTGCGGCAGCTCCACCAGGGTGGGTCTGTCGTAGCGCTTGGCCAGCGCCGGTCTCTTGCTGGGGAACGTCTTGAGGACGCTGTAGGGGCTGCGCTGCTTGTAGATTTTGGGGACGCTGGGCCCCTCCTCCGCCGGCTGCATCTCCTCCTCCATCCTGCGCCTCGGGGCTGGTTCCCGGTCGCACGCCCCCTCCCCGCCGGGCGCCGGGCTCCGAGGGTGCCTCCGCCTCCCGCCCGCCGGCTCTGCCCGAGTGCGCGCGTGTGGGAGGGTGTGTGCCTGTGCCTGGGCCGCCGCCGCCGCCGCCACTGCCGCCTGTCGCCGAGGCTGGCATAGCTGAGCCCCCGCGCGGGGGGCTGCCGCCCGAGCGCTGATTGACAGGCCGCCTCGCCAATGCCTGGAGGGAGAAAGGAGGTAAAGAGCAAGTGTTTAGGGTAATATCTGCTAATGATAATGGGAGCGGGGGCGGGGCCTGGCGCCGCCGTCGCCCGTGGGGTCCGCGCGCCGGGTGTGCGCCTCCGACGGGGGGGTGGGGGGGAAGGGGAAAGCCAGATCCCGAGGGCGCGCGGGTAAACAGGGCGAGGTTCCGGCCAGCGCGAGACTTTGGAGACCCACGTGCGGACTTGAGGCCTCTGCCTTTGCGGGCGGGGTTAAGCTTCGGAAATGGGCTCCTGGCGCCCCCTACTTGACCTCAAACTCTCGGGGTTGCACGGAGGGGTTGGTAGTAGTTGGGGCGGGGCGTGTGTGCCTTGGGAAGGTATCGCAGCGCGTTCTTCTGCCCACGGAGAATTGCTCCCCCAACCTTCTTAGATGGACATCTTGAAGGTCCTGACCCACCGTCGCGGCGCGTTGTTAGCGCCTCTCGGGTTCTGCCCCCATGGTCTTTGAGCTCGTGCATAACACAAGACCACACAAGGCATCGGACTTTTACATTATTTTATTAATTCCCCACAGGGGCTCCATAGTGTGTAACAGCGTAATTTACTCCATTCTACAGATGAGTAAACCGAGGCTCCGCGAGGTAATTACCCAAAGCCAGACACTCAGGAGTGTGCAGCCTAGTGCAGAGATGCATCCCGATCATTTGAATTCATATCCTCACTCCTTCTCATAGCACATAGACTCTCTGTGCAATTGAGGGAAAAATATGACCAGATACCTCCCTTTGGGATGGTGATTAGATATTTTCAAAAATGCCATTTGATACATAAATAAATGTGCTTGTAGAACCAAGGTGGCCTAAGAGCTGGCTCCCTGCATTGCCCACTGCATCTGGGGCCACCAGGCCAGTGTTTCTGGAAGACACACAATTTCAGTAATTATTTGAATGAGAGAAGAGACTCTGTGGTTTGGAGGAGGATCCCCATGGAGTAGCGATGTCTTCAAATCTAGAGAAGTGTCCTGGCCTCTCCCAGAGGCTCATCGGAGCAAATTGTCCCTCTCCTAGGCCGGCTCCAATGCCAGCATACTCCCTCCCAGGAAGATTGGTTTCCAGCGTCAGTCTTCATTCTTCAGGTTTAGGATTCTGGGTGCATCTCCTCCTTGATGTATGACTCTCCTCTCTCCACTCTGAAGTTACATTTCTTTTCAGTTTTCCTTTTAGTCTTGGGAAAGTGACCCATTTTCTTCTAGGGGTTCAGGTCTTCCCCTCTTCTTTCCCATATCTCCCTTCCCTTGGAAGCCTTCTCTCCTGGTTCAGCCTCTGTGTTCCTCCACCCAGGATAGTCTCCCTCTCTCCTGCAGCGTCCTCACATCATGCTGTGGGTACCCCCCCTTCCATTTATTAGAGATGAAATAAATAATGCCATAAATAAAAGTATTTGGGAGTCCAGGAACTGTCAGGGCTGATTAGGGCATAGAGGACATTTTCTTTCTCATTATGCAAAAGCATTTCATGGGGAAATAAAAGAGGTTTCATTGTAACTCATGCATGTCATATTTCAAGGAATTCAAGATATTAATCATATTTAACATTATTTGCAACGTTTCTCCCTGGCTTCTGAAAACTGCTAAATGAGGACACGTGGATCAGTAGGAAAGAGGGAGACAAGCATGAGAGGGACAGTTAAGAAATAATGAAATGCTGGTAAAAGACAGGGAGAGAGAATGAGATTCCAAAGAGATGTTTCTTAGGCACCTAAGTGAGAAATGGGGGGCTTCTCCTGAGACGTGAGACAGCTGAAATGGAATGATATACTGGAGGAAATAAATGGTAACAAGCCTCCCCACACTTTTCTTTCTATAAAGCAGTTCTGAATTTTGCATCGAAATGTTTCCCTCCCACTTTCCTCCCAGACAATTTGCCAATAAGCCGTGGCTTTTGAAAAGAAATTGGGGTAGTGGCAGTGTGTGTGTGAGGTGGCTTCAAGGGGAGAAATTCTTGAGTCCTTCTACTGAAGAAGTAATTTCCTCTACCTAAGAGCTTTCTCTTTTGCTTATGGATTTTTAGTTTGTATCATCCTCACCACTTACACACCTTAAGAGACCGGGAACAGTACTGCTGTTGTATTTTCCCAGCTAAAAGGACCTACTATCCTATATGTCAGAAAGTGGTCGTTTCTATAAAACTTAAGGCTAAAATTAGTGGTTCAGCATTAAAAGAAAAGGCGGGGGGAAGGCTCCTTGTGGAAAAATGCTGGAAATTTAAAAATGATCAACTTTAAGGTCTTCATGCTAACATCTGGGTCCACAGAAAAATGAAGTGCTTAGTAATCACTCTTGAGAAAATAAAATGGGCATTTTGTTCAAGTGTGTAGTTAAACTCAATTTTAAAAGCGTAACTGACCACTAATCCCTGTCTGGGATTATACTTAGCTGGGTATTGTGTATAAGTAATATATTGGAGTGTTTATAAAATCACTTGGAGCACTTTGTAAGCATCTTTCTGTAAGTTATAGTCTAAATGATCAGATGGTGACTTTGCTGATATCTTCTCTTTAGGGACTCATAGGGGCTGATAGGATGGTAATTACACCCATGCTTTAAATCTCTTTAGATATTTACTCTTATCTCAAAAAAAAAGGGGGGGGTAGTGAACTTTTAAAAGCCAAGTGGCTATTTATGGACAGGGTGATTTTTGATTGGCAGCATGTCAATTCCTTGAGCAGTCCAGAATATAGCTTTTAAATAATAAGTCAGCCATGGGAAATGCTTTTTATTGCACCAATTTCAATGATATTTAATGAGCTTCTGATTGACTGTTTGATCTCCCAATGTTTTGTGCTACTTTTAATTCATTTCGTATAATAGAAAAAAAACGTAATTGGAATAAAATTTTGTGACAAGATAATGACCTTCCACTTTGAAATTAAATGTCTGATTAGCTTCAACATTTTAATGCTGAGATGATATTACGGCAGGAACAGGAGTATGCATACCATCATTTGGTGGAAAATGTCTGAGGATTATTTTGCTTTTCCCAATGCGTAACAGAAAGGGTGTAGTAGCCGTAGAATCATAGCCTCCTAGTACTAGAAGAGACCTTTAGGGTCTTTTATTCTTGTGACCGAGCCAATGCCGATAGTTTCTCTATGACATTCCTAAATGGTTGCACAAACCATGCCTACATACTTCCAGTGATACCTAAATACCTCACTACTTCCAGAAGCGTCATTTACCCAAGGATTTTTTGGTTTGTTGTTGTTTTTAAGTAAGTTCTTTGACCCATGTGGGGCTTGAAGTCATGACCCTAAGATTGTATGCTCTACTGAGGAGCCCCTCACCCAACAATTTATTCAACAGATATTTACTGAGTGCCTACTATGTGCTAGGTACCTTTCTAAGCATTGGGGGATATAATGGAACCAGATTCCAAGATCCTACTATTACAGAATTTGGGTGGGCAGGTAATAAATACACTAGAAACTAACTAAGCAATATTAATATGTCACATTTACATAATATGCTAAATACACAAATGTATACACTTATATGATTATTTTACTAATATTAATATAATAGAAAACATATATAATACATAACAATACAATTATTGATAGTATTTCAGAAATAACTGTGATAAAAAAATAAGAGGGGGATGTTACTTTTGATAGAATGGTAGGTATGAGAAGGTTTCTCTGAGGTGGAACAGTGGAGCTGAGAATTTACTCCTGAAAAGTAGCCATCCATGAGAAGAGCCATCTAGGCTGGGGGACAGCAGGTACAAGGATCATAAGGTGGGAACAAGTGTGATGTTTTCAGGGAGCTGAAGCAAGAGCAAGTAGTTGGAGTGTCCTGGCCAGGGGCAGAGTAAGGAGAAGAGGCCCTGGGGCAGGCTGGGCCCAGGCTTGGCCATGTTTTATATACCTTGGGAAATGTTTGACATTCATTTTATTTATTTATCATTTTTTAAAAAAAGTTTTATTTATTTTTGAGAGAGACAGAGACAGCGTGAGTGAGGGAGGGGCAGAGAGAGACAGGGAGAGAGAGAATCTCAAGCAGGCTCCTCGTTGTCAGCACAGAGATCGATGCAGGGCTTGAACTCATGAAACCGTGAGACCGTGACCCAAGCTGAAACCAAGAGTCAATGCTTAACTTACGGAACCACCCAGGCGCCCCTGGCATTCATTTTATTATTTTATTTGTTTATTTATTTATTTTTTCCTGGCATTCATTTTAAATGCAACAGGAAGCTTGGAGGGGGTTAAGCTGGGGAGTGACACAACCTGATTTATGTTCTTAAAAGATAATTTTCAGAAAAAGTAAAATTATGATTCTCATACAGATGAAAGTAAATGAACAGATGTTAAAGATTTTCTTTAACGTGTTCAATGCCCTCATCGTATTCAAAGGAAAAGTCAAAACACAGATACGTATGGAATAAAGCAATGTTGAATTGAATGTGTAAATGGTTTTTCCATGTGTAAACTCATGTTTCCATGGAGGGGGAGTTCAGGTAAGTGGGGGGAAGGGAACCTTTACCAGACAGGACAATTTGCATGTCTATCAGTTACTAAACTTTCAGAGTTGTAAAAGCAGTTCAAAGACAACGAATAGAATCAGGTAACTGGGAAGGGTGTGCTGTACGTACACAATGCAGGATTTTTCGCCAGAACACGATTTCTTTTCTAAAAGTTTTTTTAATAAACTTTTTGTTTTGAAATTATTGCAGATGCACAGGAAGTTGAAGACAGGTCAGAGAGGTCCTGGGTACCTTC